GGGAGGGGGGTTGGGTGCGGGGGTTCCTGGTTGCAGAGGCCACAGGCCAGGCCGAGCGACTTGAGTTGGGAGTCCCTGAGTCAGTGGATATGGGGGGCCAGGGCTGCCGTCCCTGATGGGTATTCAGGAGGCCACGGCCCATTCAAGCCCAGCCCACACCCCGGCCAGTCGGGTGTGACCTCAGAGTGCCCCCACCCAAGACACACATAGTCATGTGGGGACAGCACAGTGGGCAGCAGCTTTAGCTCTGCAGCCCAGGCCACACGGTGCGACCTTGAGCAGACTGTGCGACCTTGGCCATGCTATCCGACCTTGGCCAGGCTCTATGGCCCTGGCTGTGCTGTGCGACCTTGCTGTAAAGCAAAAGGGCTGCTGAGAAGGCCTACGGGCTGACCCCAGCTGGCGTCTGGGGTTCAGTGTTTCTGTGGTTAGGACTGAGCGCCTCCAGAAATGTCTCTGTGCAAAGTGGGTTCACTGTGATCTGAGACCAGACTCGGGGCTCACTGTGGAAGAATCGTGACTGATCCGAGAGTGTGCAAGTGACTGTTTCCACTATGTCAAACAGAAAAATCAGTCTGTCTGCTGCCCTGTCCCTTAGCTGGGCAGCATGCTGCATGGTGCCCTCTGACCCCACAGGTGGCAGCATCGGCCATCCAGCACCGTGAGCTCTGCTGGGCTGTCTTGCTGCCTCTGGCTCGTGATTCCCGGCTTCCTGACTGAGGACAGGCCCTCTGAACACAGCCCCCATCCCCGCTCCCCCCGGGGCAGGCCAGGGCCAGGCCTGGCTCTCCACGGGGCCCCCCGACTCGTCCGCACCGAGGAGCAGCCCTCCTGGCAGTGACTTCGAGAGTGTGCGGCCCACCCCATGGCCACGCCTGGAAGTCCTCGGGTCCTCTGCTCCATTTGCCCAGTCACTCTCCACCTCGACATGGACCCGACTGCTTCCAGCTGTGCTGAACCTTCATCCCCAGGCAGGACAGCTGCTCCTGATCTCCGAGACCTTCGTGACACCAACGAGCACGGTGTCATCTCAGCCCAACACTTACTGTTCATCTTTGCCACGTGTACTTCAATGTTCACCGTCCACGTGAGCCTCCGGCCATCAGGAAGAACAGTCCTAACTGCGGCCCCGGGAGCGCCAACTCCCCACAGCCAACAGCAGTCAGACCTGCTTCTGGGGGCTGTCTGGCCACCAATGTGGTGCAGGCAACACCCCATGGAAAGAGTTCTGAGGAGATCACGTGTTCTGTTCTGATCTGTGACTGGGGATGTGGGAGGGCGTGGGACTATGTCACCGCTACTGGAACCATTCAGATCACTTGGCCACCCTGAGGTGCCCACTGCTGATGAACAGATGCTCGTCCGCCAGCACTCAGATCCCAAGCCCCTTGCCATCTGCCACGTGGCCCTTTGGGGTCTCAGCAGCTGGGGGCTGAGGGGAACACGGGCCAGCGCTGACTGTCACCATGACCAGTGGTTGGGGCAACTTTGGAATAACATTTAAAAAACCATTTTTTACTTCACAAAGTATCATACTTCAGGAAAATAAAACTATATAAATTTCTTTAAAGAGATGGACATGGGTTTTAATACCAAGCAAAGTAAGAAAAAAAAAGGGTGAACCCACAGCTGCCCAGCGAGGCTTCCATTCCCACTGGAGGTCACTGGAGCAGAGCCTCGGGCTCAGGGGCCAGCGGGCCGGGCCACCAGCACAGCTGTTGGAGCCTTGCATCTGAGGCAGCACTGCATCTGAGCTAGTGACCAATAATCACTGATAGCATCAGTGCGTCTGCTGCATCTGGGGTGCTGGTCGGAAACTTAAATCTCAGGGTCTTCATCCCACAAAATTTCAAGGGAGGCTTTGACTTCTCAGCTGTCTCTTCTCTGCTTCTCCATGGGTTTTTAATTCATTTGTTCACTTCTCTGTCTTTCACAATTTGGGCATTTCGAGTGGTTTTCCTAAGTCCTGCCCTTTGTACCTGGGTGGGGCTCTGACGCTTTCGGCCGGCCCAGCACTGCAGCCCTCCCTGGCCCCGCCCCATCTCCATGCAGACCCCTCTCCAGTGCAGTCCCATCTCCTGGGCAGACCTGTCTTCAGCGCAGACTTGCACCATTTTTAAGGCCCAACCCTTTACTAAAGGCCCCCCACTACATCCAGTTCCAGAAATGGCAGAAGGGGCGCAGGACTCCCCACGTGTCCTCTCCCCTGGCTCCCCAGTGACGACAGCGACGGACTCCCCAGGTGGCAGGCACCAGCCCTGCCCCTACCATGGCCCCCACTCAGGCCGCCTTGGGCCACACTCCTGATGCCCGGCCCCCACACGGCCCTGACCTCACTGAGGCACCCAAGCCTCTGCCGCCGACACTAAGAAGCCACCGCCAGCATGGAGGGAGGGCAGGCCGGCCACGAGCACGGACGCAGAGACCGTACCTCCAGCATGACCACACAGATCTGCTTGACACACTGGATGATGGCGTCGGGGGTCCCCGAGATGGTCACCGCCCGCTCCGTGGAGTTGGGCAGCATGTCCCCGGCCACCTGGACCTGGGCACCTGTGGACTGAAGAAACCAGATGTTGGGAGGGGCACCGGAGAGGGTCGGGGAGGCTGCAGGGCTGGAGCTGCGCTTCCGGATTCGCTTGAGGGTGTGCTGGAGGGCAGTGTGCTGGGGAAAGTCCACCCCGACGTCACCCCATGGTACTCCCTACACGTGTTCCTTGGGGAGGCCCTGTGGGCAGGTCTCGTTCGCCTCAGCCCACCGCAGCTGGCGCAGGACGAGCAGGGCTGCCCGGGGAGCGTTTTAACAAGCAAACGGCATTTGCAGGAGAGAAGACGGAAAGGCAGTCACTTCTTTCCAGCACGTGGAACTCTATGCGCTCTGTGGAGTTTAGGTCACAGAGAAAGATGGATTCTAGATGAGCCTAAACGTGAAAGAATCAGAAGAAGTGGCTGCCCTCCTTCTGGGTCGGAAGGGCTCAGGCTTTCCTTGAAATGAGTGAACCTGTGGCTACAAAGTGTGTACCTCATGCCAGCCCCATCCCAGCTGGGATGGCTCGTGTTCACCCAGGAAACGGGGGGCAGGGACCCCTCAGCCTCAAACCCCATGACTGGGGCCCCTCTGCAGTGCCCCCTCAGCCACCCAGCAGCTGGGCACCCCCCGGGCGGGCAGAGTCCCGTACCTCCCTGATCTCCTTAATCTTGGAGCCGCCTTTGCCGATCAGGGACCCGCACTGGCTGGCAGGGACCACCAGTCTCAGCGTCACCGGGGGCTTGCTGGTGGCAGGGCTGTTGCTCATGGAGTTGATGATGTCCTGGGAGAAGAAAGGTGCACGTGTTGGCCAACAGTATATGGTCTGGACACTGAGAGTGCGTGTGCGGGGCCCTGGGAAACAGCTGTGCGCTGGGCTCCGAGAGGCCTCGGGGCCCACAGGAGGAGGACACGTGTGGACACGCACATGCTCCTGAAGGAAGGTGCACACACCCCTGTAAATGGCTGAGTGTGCACACAGTGGCCAGGCGGGGCTCGTCACAGACGCTGGTAGGCCAAGTCAGGTTCAGGAGGACAAGGAGACGGCGGCTGGACGGACAGAAGCGGACTAACACAATCGTGTGTCAGAGCGGCCGTGGCACTGTCGTGGACAGGTCAGGGTGCCATCAGAGGGCGCCCACACTCGGGGCCTGATGTTTGTCTATAGGGCAGGGCATGGGGGGTTTGGACAGACAGGGTGACTAATTTTTGACAGAAAAATTTATTTTCTTGCTTGATTACCCTCTGAATAAAAACACTAAATGCATCTCTAAATAATTTTTGGTAATTTCAAAACAATTCAAAACACATAAAAATCTTCAGATGTAACTCATAAAAGTGCAGCAGACACACTAACGCACGCATATCCATGTGTGCCAGCGGGGGAACCTGGTCATGCGTCTGTGCCCTATCTGTCCACACCTAAGCCCAGCTGGTCCACCTGGGGTCGAGCCAGCTGCTCTAGAGAAAGGAGGGGGAGGCAGCGGGGAGCAGCAAGGTGAGCGGGCCCAATGTTGGCCTGAGGAGGTGGGGGGAGTCCTGGGAAACAGGAGCTGATGGGAGCTGGGGCGCTCCCGGTGAGCTGGGCCACGACCTTGCCCATCATCCGTCTCCAGTGGCGCATCTCACCTCCTCAAACTTATAGGCGATCATGGCAAAGGCCTTGAAGATGGCATCAGTCGGGCCCGTGATGGTCACGATTCTCTCTGGGCAGTTTCCCTCCGAGATGTTGATCCTGGCACCGCTCTACAAGGGAGTTGAGCAGAGCCCAGAAACGGTTAGAGCCACAGGGTAGCGACAGGCTGGCTGCTCCTCCTCACACAACCGATGCAGACATGTCCCATGGCACGTGATGGGCAGACCGTGGCACTCAAGAGGAAGTCCTCTCCGGGACTGCCCTCCACAGGGAAGTTTTAATGAGAGAGGACCCAGTGGTTCCAGGGCAGCTGGCCCGGGGAGGGGCCTCTGTGCCACTGTGTGCCCCGTGTCCACTGAGGGGACCACACAGGAGTGCCCCGACACCCCTGCACACAGGGCTCCCAGCTGGTCCGAGCGCAGAGGCGCTGGAGGCCATCCCGCCCACTGGACACAGGATGCCACTGAAGACTCCCCCACACTCACCTCCTCACGCATCTTTTTCACAGTCTCTCCTTTCTGGAATACAGATTTAGACAACAGAAAGAGGGGTCACTCACGGGTCCACTACAAGCACGCAGAGGGGTTGGAGTGGCAGCATGCAGTGTCAGGAGCCACCTACCCACCACGCGCCCCGGGCTGTCGAGAGCCTGACACACACTGTGCCTCCCTGAGCCCTCAGCACGCCTGGCATGTGCGCCCAGGGGCTCGTGGCTCTGAGGGTGAGCGAACTGGGACCTGGGCACCCGCCTGGACACACTTGGCCAGGGCACCTGTTCCACGGTGTGGGGGTGGGAATGTACCCAGCCATCCCCATGGTCGTCACAGGCAACACAGGGACCAGGACAATGGCAGTCCCCAGAGGCACCTGTGCAAAGACCTGGACTTGAGCACTGGAGGTGCCCCCATGTGGACAGGAGCCACTTGGAACCCTAGAGGTGGTCAAAATGCAGCCAACGGGAGGGCGATGCTTCACCCCTGCCTTCCCCACAGGCATGGGCTCCCAAATTGGCTGTGACTTCCCCACGGGAATGGTCCTTCTATTTCAGAAAGAAAATGCAAGGAGACCACCAGTGCTCGCTGGCCAGAGGGGATGACTGTGCAGAGGCATGCAAGGAAAGGAATCCTGCCTGGGCTCTCACACCCAGGAGGAAGGACTGGCCACCAGGGCAGCGGGTGGCAGGGCTGCCGAGGTGACTAGCTGGGGCCTCCCGGGCTGTCACAGAGCTGGTGAATAGGACGCTCTCGGACTGAGACGCAGGATTCCTCTGGGGCTCTCATGCCACCGTGTGTGGGCACACCCCCAGCACAGGGACCCCGACAGAGGCAGAGAGGTCACTCAGTAATCACCTTCCCGATGATGCTTCCAACTTCCTGTAGGAAAAACCACAGAAAGGTGACGTCATATAGAAGGACCAAACACTGTCTGTTGTGAGTGAGGAAGGGGAGGTAGCCAGTCGGAAGGGGTGTGCAGGCAGGCCCTGCATGTGCAGGCTCCCTCTGTGCCCACGTGGCCACGGCGGCCCCTGCCCAGCCTCTGACTGACAGGTAGCCGAGCAGAGGAGAATGGCGAGCTGCTTTCCAGCTAAACAAGGACACAGGGGCCCGTTTGGAGGGGCCCCCACTGGCCAAGTCAGGAACAAAACAAGCATCAAAATAAGTAACTACACAATGGGGAATAAAATGGATAAAACGGCAAACACTGAGTCCACACAGACATGAACGCACACGCTGAAAGCCTAGTGACAAATGGGACATTTATACAATGTCTAAGCACCTCGGGAAATGGCCATCTAGTAATAGTGGGGGACAGTAGCTCTGGGCGGAGACAACTGGAAGATCAAGCAGGTGATTGGTAATGGGATACCCTGAAATCTGAGACACCTGTAGGAAAGCTTTTGTGACTTTTCCTGCCAACGGTGAGGAAACATCAGAAAAAGCCAACATGAGGAACGTTCTAAAAAAGAACTGGTCTGGGCCGGCCGAATGGCTCAGTTGGTTAAGAGCTCGCTCAAGAGTTTGAGCTCTGAGCAACAGCGGTTCGAGTCCAGCCCGAGCTGAGCAGCCGCTAAGCTGCCAACAGGTAGCAGGATGGCTCAGCTAAAAAAAAACAAAAAAAAAAAAACAATAAAAAAGAACTGGTCAGAAACTTTCAAAGGTGGAAGGCAAACGAAGACCAGCAGGTCCCCCAGGGGGAAAGAGACTAGACACGTGAAAGGACACGAAGTGTGAGCCCGCCCTGAGTAACGAGTTAGGAAGAACAGGGTGGGGATGACAGGGCACTGAGATTGGGGTGACCACAGTGGATCACCATCAGCACCCTGACTTTGTGATGGGGAATAAGGAGCGTGTGGGAAATAACACTCTTGAGGTACTTGGTGATGAGGCATCAGCTCGGTAACTTAAGTCTCAAAGGCCCGGGAGAAATGTTTAGGCTGGACTGCACCTGTGAGTCTGAGCTTGCTTAGAATTTTAGGGAGCATGACACAATATAAGAGCCCCAGCGGTCAGCGTGACCTCCCTCCCTCCCAATGACAAAGACAGGGCTTGAGTTTCTGTACCTTTCCATGCATCAGCAGGCGGATTGTCAGGGTCACATTCAGGCCACCTTCTGAGACCTTGGACTCCATCTTCCTCCCAAAATGCAGCTGGGGGTGGTGGCTTAAGGTGCCGAGGATGCCGTGAGGAAGGACAGATGGGGCCCAGAAGGTGTCACCTGGAAAGAGAAGGCACAACTGCTGCTGACTGGGAACGCCAACACACAGGCGGACATCCTGGCCTCTGGAGCAGTGGCGGCTGCTGGCGAGGCGAGGCGAGGCTCAGGGACAGGCTTGCGCATGTGTGGAGCGGCTGCTGGGCCGGGGAAAGCCTGGCAGGTCACCCAGCCCTCTGCCTCCGTTTCCGCTCCTATAAGTAGCAGAACAGGGGCAGCTCTCATAGCTGCTGGTTAGGGAGCAGGGTTGCTCGGCTGGTAAGCTCAGGGCCTCGTGTGTGTCCAGCATGTCCGCTGTGCTGTGAGGTCAGTCCTGCCCACTCTCTCCCGCCATGACTCCCTCCCCCCTGAAAAACCAGGCCATTTCAGCTGCTGACAGGCCCATTTCGTAGTCAACAATCCCTGGCAATCTTCACTGCTAAGGGGACTTAGTTTTTATCAACTAAACTGCCAAACCGCTGAGTGTTCCCTCCCTGTCTGGAGCTTTCAGAAAATGCCTTACAGACCCATGTCACTAGTGTTTGTGGCAGACTTTCTGCAGGTCCAGTGCTCAACCCACCAGGCAAAACACTGGCCCCGCTGTGAGTCACAGGCCCAGAGTGACGGCGGACAGTACCATGTGACCCAGGGTGCACGATGGTGGCTCAGGTCCACAGGACTTGGCCTGAACAGATGGAGGGCAGGGGACAGAGTCCGAGCCCCCCATTAAGGTCTGCACGGGGGTCCTGGCCAAAGTCCCTTCTCAAGAGGATCCAGGTCCTCCTTTGGGCTGGATCCTAAGGGACAGGTCACCCCCACTGCGGTGCATGGAGCGGCCTCACAAGATAGGCACCAGCGAGGTCCGGCGAGGGATGGAGTGGGCAGTGAGGGGAGGGGACTCTCGGACCAGCTGGGGCGAGGTCTAGAACTGCGAGATATGGGGGAGGGGGGTGGCCGAGGGTGCATCAGACCTTGACTCTAGGCCTGAGAGGTGCTACTTCACTCTGCAGGTCACGGGGTCACAAGGGGGTGAGTATCTGTGTGGCCTTTCTGGGAGTGAGAGCAGACAGTCTCCGGGAGCCCCTCTGTGCAGTGGACAAATGTGGGGCTGGACATGGCGGGGTGCGGGGTATGTGTACGGGATGTGGCAGGGCTGCAGGTCCCCAGGGAGCAGGGAGGAGGGGAGACAAGGGCATGAGAGGCCCCCACGAGAACAGGGGACCCACCAGTCTGGAGAGGGAGGGGGAGCGGGGCCTTCGGGATCTGACAGCGGAGTGTCTTTGTTGGACAAAAAGGCAAGACAGGCCTGGCTGGGGGAAGGTTCCAGGTGACCTGTGGGGCAGCTCCGGGCCCAGGGGTTCCATGAGAGGCCTCTGGGAGCCACCACCTGCCCAGGTGCACACCTGAGCATGTGCGGAGCTGCTGGGACAATGAGGGACAAGGCCTTGCAAGACTTAAGTGCTGCTCACACACCAGCCCACTCAGCCCCTTCACTAATGAGTGACAATGTCACAGCGCCAGCGTGGCTGCCTAAACCCATCAGGAACAAACGTCCTGTGGAACCTGTGTGTGCCCCTAGGCACCCCCGGGCTGTCTGCACACTGGCCCTGTGATGCGACTTGCAAAGGTAAGAGGCTGTGTCACACACAGGGGAGACTACAGGATAAAAAAGCAAGCTTTTCCTCTAACTTCCAGGTTTGGGGACAAAAAACTGGTTTTCTCATCAAAATATTTCTGCTGAAAAATATGCTAAACGGAAAACACAAACATAAAGCAGAACCAAAGAGCATCCCATCACCTGTGTGACATTTGGGGACACCTGCAAAGGGCCGTCACGGGTGGCTGCTGGGCGTGGGCAAAAAGACAGCTACCAGAGCATTTCTGCAATAAACACTCGCATTTAAAAACATATTTAAAGGTAACTTCAACACAAACTATTAGTTCTAGTTATTCATAATACAATGACACATTTGAATAACAAGGATTCTAACATGGAGGCATAGAACACAGCAAAGGGAGTTTTAAAAATTGTCCTTGCATATTAATGTTCTCTACTTTCTCTGCCCAGTGCAGTAGCCGCTAGCCACATGTGGCTATTTATATCTAAAATAAAAACGTCACTAGTCACACGGAAGTGTTCAGTAAACAGCCTCAGGTGGCTTCTGGCTGCGGTGGAGAGGCACAAGCCGAGTGCGTCTGTCACCCAGCGGGCTCAGGTGGACGGGCCAGTTGGACTGTAAGTCAGGCCCTCAGGGAAGGGCGCAGAAGGGAGAGGCGGCGGGCGCTCTAGTCCCAGTGACTGGCTGATGTGGACCAGGGAACGGGGCCCCCCCCTCCCAGTAGAAGCTGAGCCCAGCTACCAACACCAAGGAACTGGGTCACATGGGGGTGGGGGTAGGGGTCCCTCCTTCTTAATTAGAAGCATCTCCTCCTGAGCCGAGCTGGCAGGGCCCCGCAGCCAGCTGTTATATAAGCGTTTCCAGCCCACGTGAGAAAAGTGGGTCAGCGAACGCCAGCTGCTGCAGGCTCCAGTCGGCTGCCATCAGTCACACAGGCCAGTGCTTTCCCTCGCCAGCACCCCCCCT